ACCTCACTGTTGAAACGGGGCAAATGCAATAGGATGCAGTGGGTGATGTATGTCTGATCCTGGGTTCTTGTCTCCCCTCAATGCTGCCCTCTCTAGTTATTGTATTTGTCTGGGTATGTAGAACTTCACAAGTCGCTGAGTTGGTGATTGCTAGGTGGCCTAGTTTGTGTAAATAACGTGTTGGTCTTTCTCCGTGTTCGCTTGGGATTTTTATTGTTTACAAACTTCTTTTGTACCGAAAGAAAAATAGCCAAAGCATCTTGGGCAGGAGGCTCTGCACCAGGCAAAGGGGTCTGAAACCAGCGTGGGGACCCTTCTGTTGAAGGAGGTCTTGACCCACCCTCTCTTTGGTGCTCCCCTTCTCTTCCCAATCAGATCATCAGTCCTGAAAACCAGCTTCGATCCTATCTTACCTCCTCCTCTGTTCTCCCACCCTCACCCGCAAACCTCCAGAGACACACACTGAATTTGGTGGGTGTCTCCACAACGTCATGTTTTCCTTTAAAAACCCCGAAGAGGCTGGGAACAGTTGATCCAGCATTTCCACTCTTCTGAGTCAAGACCAGTTCTTACTAGTTAGATCAGCGGTTCAGTTCACAACCTGTGGGTCAGGACCCTTCTGGGGGTCAAATTACCCTTTCACAGGGGTCATCCGATTCATAACAGTAGCAAAATTAAAGCTATGAAGTAGCATTGAAAATAATTTTATGGTTGGGGGTCAGCACAACATGAGGACCTGTGAGGGTGGCGGCATGAGGAAGGTTGAGAACCACTTTGTAAGATGGGCCAAAGCTACTCTCCAATCACAGGCTCAGGGTGGGGAGAGACACACCGGGCTTTCATGCAGACAGTGGGGGTGGGGGACCAAGAAAGGGGAAATGAATGTATTTCTAAATCACTCAGGAACTTTTTGCAGGTGCAAGAAACTCAGGTCGAAGTGGCCACAAGATTGTTTTCATAGGAGACGGACGAATGTAACTCCATGTTTACTGCTAGAAACCAAAGCTTTGTGTAAAATCTAGAATTTATGGGGGAGGGAGGGAGGGCGGGGAGGAAAGTATATGCTTGTCTGTTCTTTCCCTGATCTCTTCACCTCATTCCTGACCTGCAGGAGGCGGAGCCCCCTTGGGCATTGGGGAGCCTTCCAGTCACTGGGGTGTGTGGGATGGTTGATTTCGCTGTAGCTTGACTTCCTTTCGATCTAGTGTATCCTTTTGTAACACAGGCTGATTCTTTTTGCCTTCCTCTGTCTTTTTCCCTTGGAAAATACAATGAATAAAGACTTATTGGTACTTGAACTATCTTGTCAGATGTCTAAGGTGCCTTTTCCTCTTCCCTTATAACTAACTTGGGGGAGTGGGCTCCCTTATGTTCTGCCACTGACTGACTACTGAAAGTTTAGTCCTCTTAACCCCTCGTTACAGTGGAGTTTCCAGTTAAGACCTTGCATCTTTCCTTGGGCACTGCCACATTCAAGAGGGGACTAGGAGTGTGGCAGGCATAAGAATGGGGTCACCTGTGCCACCAGCTTCCAGGAAAAGATGGGGCAAAGGTTTGGGCAGAAGATCTTAAAACTTTGTTCCGTACTCAAGCCCCTTTGCAATTATTAAGGCCCTGTGCCACCCCAGAGAGGGAAAGAGATACACTGAACTGGGGAAACTTGAGGCCAGAGGTAAAAACACTGGTCAGATATAAGTCCTTGACGTTTTCTCGGAACCAGCTTGCCAGCCCAAGATCCACATCGTATTTTTAAGCATTTAGCTCCCCCTAAAGGAAGGATTTTAAAAGGAAAATTTTGCAGCTGGGAGGCATGCCAAGAATTACACAAAAGTACGAAAACATGGTTTAAATCTTAGAATGACAGGAGCATTGCCAGGGCAAGGTTAGGAAGTTCACATAGGTATACAAGCGGCCATCTAGCTTAAGCAACAAAGCCCACACAGGAGAAGCACACCAGCCTGTGTGATCACGAGGTGCCGAAGGGGGGACTACTTATCAGGCATCAAAGAACAAAAGATCATATCATTGTGTGCTCACCTTCCAGATACAAAAGCTGAAGACAAATCGGTGCATAAGCAAATGTGGTGAAGAAAGCTGATGGTGCCTGGCTATCAAAAGATATAGCATCTGGGGTCTTAAAGGCTTGAAGGTAAACAAACGGCCATTTAGCTCAGAAGCAACAAAGCCCACATGGAAGAAGCACACCAGCCTGTATGATCATGAGGTGTTGAAGAGATAGGGATCAGGCATCAAAGAACAAAAATATTAAATCATTGTGAATAAGGGGCAGTGCAGATTGGGGACCCAAGACCCATCTGTAGGCAACTGGACAGCCCCCTATAGAAGGGTCACGGGGCAGAAACCAGCCAGCCAGTATAGCAACGATGAAACATACAACTTTCCTTTAGCTCCTATGCTTCCTCTCCCCACTATCATGATCCCAATTCTACTCTACCATCTGGCTAGACCAGAGGATGTATACTGGTAAAGATAGGAACTGGAATCAGGGAATCCAGGACAGATGAGCCCCTCAGGACCAGTGGTGAGCATGTTGATACCGGGAGGGTGGGGTATAAAGGGAACTGATTACAAGGATCTACATGTAACCTCCTCCCTGGGGGACCGACAACAGGAAAATGGGTGAAGGGAGACATTGCACAGTGTAAGGTACGACAAGATAATAAAATTTAAATTATCAAGGGTTCCTGAGGGAGGGGAAGTGGGGAGTGTGAAAAAAAGCTGATGCCAACGGCTCAAGCAAAAACATGTTTTGAGGATGATGGCAACAAAGGTACAAATGTGCTTGACACAATGGATGTGATAAGAGTTGTACCCATGCCTAATAAAATGATTTTTTTTAAAAAGCTCACATACCCACCCCTGTGCTTTTTGGTATCCCCCAAACAACCAGTTGCCTACTATTAGGCTCTAGTAGATGATGTTTGCAAAATTGAAGTACATTTACTAGGCCAAAACTAGGGCCCAAGCTGGAAGACTTATTCTTGGGTGGATTACTCCAAAGTTTCATAGTAACCCTTTCATCAGAAAGGTGCAAGACCTCTAGTGGGTTAGGCATTATCAGTGCAATTATCTCTCCCCGCATCATTTCCTTCATTGGGTTTGGCAATCTAAAGGATCTTTTAAATTGTAAAATCCTGTTCTAAAATAGTTTCATGCTTTGAACAAAATATAGGTTACATCAGATTATGTATTTAAAAGTGTAAAAGCTTTGCCCCTCTTTTAGTTTTGAATTTTGAGAAAACAGAGCTGGTTCCCTAACAATAATATGTGGTACAAGTCTACTGTCCTTGTTATCACTACAAACTGAAACAACCAAAGCCCAGGGGTTTAAGTGGAGAGAAAATGTTTTGAGAATGAAGTACAAATGCGCTTTACACAATTGATGTGTGTATGGATTGTGGTAAGAGTTGTATGAGCCCCTAATAAAATGTTTTTTAAAAAATTAAGTAGATAGGAGGATTTTATCCAAGAAGCATTAAATACTAAAGAAATAACCAAACTTGAGGGAAAAAAGAAACAACCAAAGCCCCCGCCCAGATGACTGGAGCTCATAGCGACCTTGTGTAAGACTTAGCCTTTGGGTTTCTGGGGCTGTGAATGTTCCGATGTCCAGTGGTTCCAGCTACTGACTTGAGGTGGGCTTCCCAACTGCTACAGGGGATTGTGTGCCTTGTTATTGCAGAAATTATTCGCATAGCAAACCTCATTTCGGCCTTCACCTTTTTTTTTTGGTAACGTGAGAGTAGATTCCAAACGGCCAGTGCCATCCAGTCAAGGACAAGGTGACCTGCTCTTGGGCTTTCTGCAAACTTAAAGCTAGCATCATCTTGGTGGGGCCATCTGCTGTCCTTGCGATTAGCCCAGGGTCCCGGAGTGGGTCTGGGACCCTGTTTATCTGGGTTTCTGAGAGTAGCACAATATGAGCTGAAGATGAAGTAGGGTTATGCACTTCATTCCAAACAATTAAATCCGAACTGAAAACAGTAAAAATGAAGTACTAAATGTGAATTTAAATAACAATAACGGAAAAAAATAAGAAAATTACAATAACGGTAAAGTTAAAATAAGGCTACCCCAGGCCGGCGAAGCAGCCCGGGCTTTCTCAGCACTCCTAAACTGTCACACGGAAGGACGCTTTCGAGTTGGAAATTCTTGACCTTGGGGCACGTACGTACCCGTCAGCCTACACCCCCTGCAGCCCCTCAACTTGAGGATGTGCTGCCAGCGAGCTCCGCCGACCCCTCAGCCTTCTCCAAGCCCGTTCGCAGCACGTGGCCCAAGGCCTCCCCGCCGCCTCTCGGGAGGGAGGCTCCCCCGGCCGGCGCCCGCCCCCTCCCCCTCGCGGAGCGCGCGAGGTACCGCCCCCGACGCCACCGCGCCTCCGCCGGCTCGCATGCGCAGAGCGGGGCTCCGCCCACCAGCTCCGGAAGCGACGTGTCCCCGCGCTCAACGATGACGCAGTCTTCCCGAGCCACGTCATGACAGTGTCGACCCGCTGAAAGGGTTCCAGCGGTCTGAGGAGAGCCAGTCAGGTGTTGAGACAGGTGCCTGGGCGAGAAGGCAGCTGGAGAGAAATCGAGAGGACGGCGGCAGAGACGGTCAATCGGGCGATTAGAAAGTGGGAGAGGACACCGAAGTAGGAGATTAGCAGGGGTGACAGCTGAAGGGGTTAGTCCCTGGGGGGTTAGTCCCTGGGAGCGCAGATGGGAACAGGGCTTGGGGGGAAATGGGGAAGGAAAAGGCTGGGTGTGATCAAGCTGTGGGCAGTACGATATGACGGGAAATCGACTTGGTTTTTTAGAAGAATTCCTATCCTGATGAAAAGAGGATGGGACAATAGAAAAGTGGGTGAAGGGAGACGTTGGACAGGGCACGATATGACAAAATAATAATTTATAAATTATCAAGGGCTCATGAGGGAGGGGGGAGCAGGGAGGGAGGGGAAAAATGAGGACCTAATACCGGGGGCTTAAGTGGAGAGAAAATGTTTTGAGAATGATGAGGGTAATGAATATACAAATGTGCTTTACACAATTGATGTGTGTATGGATTGTGATAAGAGTTGTATGAGCCCCTAATAAAACGATTTAAAAAAAAGAAAAGAGGATGGGAACAAGGGCCAAAAAGCCGGGAGAACCAAGGAAAGAACGTATGCCCTCAAAGCCCCTTTGGTTGCTACCGCTTTGGGTTCCGAAAGAGTAGAGGTTTACACCTCTTTGGAATCTCTGCTCATCATGGTCCAGGTGAATTTTCGAATTTCAAAGAAGCCGCTTACAATTAATGATGACTTATTATTTACCTATTTATCCAAGGTTACGTGCCTGGTGACATTATTTCTGGGAGCTCTCCATCCAGAGCAAGAACCATGTCATGGATCAAGGAAGGAGAAGTGTCGCTTTGGGAGCGGTTCTGTGCCAACATCCTAAAGGTGAGCAACAGCCCATTTGGTAAAACTGGCAATTGGCCAGTGCTAATATTGTGTCCAAACCATTATTAGGTTGAACAATCCATGACATTGAGTCAAATTTAGCAAGGAACCTTAAAATTATAGGATTGCCTAATGACTTCCAGTTCTATGTTTCTAGCAGATTCATTGTCCTGACATTTTCCCAGCTGGAATCCCAGGATCTCCCAGCAGGAATTCCAGGATCTCCCAATACTGTTCTCCTTCTCATTTCAGCAGACTATTAAGCGTCCCTTGTAGAGAACTTGAATCCATTCTTCTTAGTACTGCCCACTTACTTAGAATGATGTGGCCATGAGCTCTGGTTAAGAGTTTGAGCTCAGGAGTCAAACAATCGTGGGTGAATCTCTTCTGTCACATTAAAGGATTATTATAAGGATTAAATGTAATTTAATTATGTGTAAAGCACTTAGTATAATGTCTACCAGTTCTTGAAAATCTTCTTAAGTAAATTCTTTTTAATTACTATTCTTGTTGAAGGTATATTTCAGCCATTGGCAAGCCACGCTCACTCTCTTTGTACACACTACAGCCCCCTCAGAACTTCCTTCAGCTTTTTCTCTGGAAATCACAACACTGGTAAACTTTTTGCCCAAGATAAAGATTTCATTTGATTGCAAGACCAGGCAGCTTGGTTTTGTCTGCTAGCCACAGCTACCAAGCTGCTGATAACAGTGAATTTATGAGTCATTTGCCTTACACACACACACACACACACACACACACACACAGCACAGCAAGTTCATTTCTCCCCAGGGAACCACTGCAGTCATGTGAATAAGAAGCTGCATGACTTGATTGAATTGTTCGTTTGTTTTTAATGCTACTTATGGGGAGTAACAAAAATGCTGGAAAGGTGCCTGGAAAGAGCCTCTCCAGATGAGGGAGCATAGATTGAGGAGTGGAGAAGGCATATGGCCTAAGGGGAAAGGAGAATCAGCCAAAGGCTGAATTGTGAGGCAGAGGTGAGATGTGCCTCCACCCTCCTTTTCACCAATCCTGACACCAGCTTCTCTTCTGGATTCAATAATCTGTGCAATGACTGCATAGAACTCACAGATCATACAGGTATTAGATTGATTTGGAAAGTAACAGGTTACTGTTCAAGTGCAGTGACACTTCAGATACAACTTTCTGATCAGGATTGCCTCTCCTCAGTTGCGCTTCATGTACGTTTCTAAGGGGCCCTGGACCCATCAGCCTGACTTCTGCTTTGCATAGACAAGTTTTACTGAGCTCTTTCAGCTCTGATGAGAGCTCCCAGGGGCACTGAGGGGGCCTTGGCTTTGGCCTGAGGCTGCTCCACTTTAGCTCATAGGCTGGGATACCCACTGTGCTTTCTTGTGCCAGTCTCCTGGGTCTGCTGCTCCCCTCTCCTGGTCTGTGGTGTTACAGGGTGCTCTTTCCGTGTCCTCTGGACGAGGGAGTTCTCACAGCAGGGATACCAGGTCCAAAGGACATGCTCTGCTATTGGCTCTTTCTTGGTGGTTGTGAGGTTGCCCTTTCTGCCTTGGGGGTGACTCACTTTATACCTAGTGGGATGGTAACATTCATCAGTCTCCTCATGAGGGCTCTGTATACCTAATTTGCCTAGTCCCACCCTCATAAGTGTACCATGCACCTATTTACATTGTTAGCAAGCTATCCCTTCTGGTGAGCGACAAGCACCTAATTTACATAGTCTCACTTATGGAAGTTGCAAAAACAAGGGCCACCTGGAGCACTTCACAGCACAGCAAGTTCATTTTTCCTGTAGTAGACAATCTGAGGCTGCTCCAAGCCAGAGAAGAAGCTTGGTTTGGCTCCAAGCCTCAAAATGTCTTTTATTTGTTTGTTTTTAAATGGCTCTTGACATTAACATTATTTATATAAAAATTAGGGCTGCTGTCTTCTCTTGAAAAGTCTCTTGAGAGATTTAACAATATTGCCATTCTCTGGTGCTCCCTCCCACCCCCAATGCCATGTCCTGTGTTGAAGTGATTAGAGCTGAGAAGTGGGCTCCTTCTTCAAGTGGGCAGACACTGTCTCGATTTACCACAGCCATCAAGCTCTTTCTGGGGCCTCTTGGTTTGGACTCATGCACCAAGGTGGTGGTTAATAGCACAGGGCTGACAGTTGAGCCCTGAAAGCACCTACTCTGAACCCCATTCTGTCCTTTTATAGCTTTCTCACAGGTGCAAGACCCCTCAGCCTTGATTTTTCTTTTTTCCCAACTGTAAAATGAAGTGAATATTATTTGTTATTATGTGATGAAATAAGATGAAACGTTGAAAGCATAGTGCTTGACGTGCATGACCTGCTCGGTAAACACGTGATTAAATAAAAGTGCTTAATTTTTGGAGCTAAATGCGTAAAATATCCGATTGTCTTCCTCAGGGTTTTCATAAAGAGCCCAAGTTGGAGCTCTTTAGGGACTAGGGTTCCCCTTTAGCCCTGAAGAATGTGTGATTTGTCATTTATCATTGGTCTTCCTCCACAGGCAGGCCCAATGCCCAAACACATTGCATTTATAATGGATGGAAACCGTCGCTATGCCAAGAAGTGCCAGGTGGAGCGGCAGGAGGGCCATTCACAAGGCTTCAATAAGCTAGCTGAGGTGGGTTTGGGGGCAGAACCCAAGGGGAAAAGTCTGTGGAGAATTGGATTATAACTAGAAAACCAGCCCCTGATTGCTGGGCTGTGGCTTTGAGAGTGTTTTTTTTTTTTTAATGTAACATTAAAACTTTATTGTTTTGTCAATAAACCATGATGAAGCTTAGAACTGGATCACCTGGCCCTTTCTCTTCTTATCTCCTCCCAGTTCAAAATGCTTGCATCGCTAAGTAGCCAGCATTCTCTTAGATCTGCAGTTGGGCTCAACGCATTCAAGCTGCAGCACAATCTTTGTCGTTTTAGCCGTCTTCCGGAAAATTGGCTTCGTCTGCCCACCGTAGCCACTCTGCTTCCTGTCATAGCGTCGCTTTCCCTGGGACACAGAGAATCTTTGCTCCTCTTGTACTGTGTCACTTTGTGGGTGGTGCTTGCCACACTTCTGACAGAAAGTCTGGCGGGTTTTAGGAACGGTCACCATGTTTACGGGAGCGCTACCAGCACGAAAAGCGAGAGTGTTTCTAAAGCTGTTTTTTTGGTTTGGTTCGGTTTTTGGCATCCTCGCTGTTGCTCTCATATTGACATTAACCCAAAATTATTACCCGGTAAATCATCAGAATATTACAAATTAGCCCCAAATCGACACCTCTTGCCACCCTAATGAACCAATCATTTAAATTTTTTTTTCTATGTCTCATCTTACTTAGTTCTTCTGACATACTCCATAGGGCTTATCATTTATAAAATTATATTTATAGTTTTGAAAACCTACTGTCACTTGACATTTTGGCAAGTTTTTTTTTATTTTTAGGTTGACATAACTCTTAATTCTAATTTTTTATTTTAGTAACGGGGCACTCAATGCATGAAGTTGGCATGTGATGTTTAGCTGCTCCGATTTTATTGAACATTATAAATCAACATAATTGTACTGCTATTGAATGAGCTTCTAGATGTGCGATCTCGGAGCATCAGCTGGGGGACTCCCCATCTTGGTTTGCTTGCGGAGGGCTTTCTCAGGAAGCAGGGTCCTCAGAACCGAAACTTGCAAAATGTCAGGCAAACTGGGAGATGCCAATTCCCCTCAGGCACCCGTCATGAGTATTTTATGGCTTTGGTGCGTATTGCAAAATCTATTGCAAATTAAGAAACGTTAAGAATGGAATATACTGATCTTTGTGAAAAAGTAAATTTAAGAAGGATGGAAATATAGTTTGTAGTCTACCTGATCCCAGCTTCCTGGCACAAGAATGCGACCTGATGCTGGAACAATGGTGTTTACTTTTTGATTTTTCTGTTGCTTGAAGTGAGTGGCTATGGGGTCATCTCCAGCCTTCTGTAAAGGTTCTTAGGTTTGTTGATTCCATCCTTGTTCAGAACTGAGTAAGATGTTTTCTCTACTGCTTACTAGCTCTGCCATTTCCTGCTACGACCTGCAGCAAGTTATCTAGCTTCCCCTCTGCCTTAGTTTCGTCCTCTATAAAATGAGGAACGTGATATTCTACCTCAGGATATTATTTGATGATGAAACAAAAAAGCACAAGAACATTGAAGCTGCTGCTGTTGGAGGCAGATAGTTCGAACCCAGATGTGCCAATTAAGTGACAGGTTCTCACAGCCTTCTAAGGTGGACATGGACTTGTCTGTGGGATTAGAAAGGCAGATCTTCACGTTTGCTTTTTCTCACCTATGTGTGACTGTCTTCCATCCTCTGTCCCCTCCAGCCGCCCCGTCTCAACATTGTCACCCTTGATTCCACCTCTGTTTCCCACCGTAGGTGGTAATTCTAGGTTGGAGCAGCCTCAGGAGAGTTGAGTTTAAGTATGAGCTTTCAGTTTTTATTTCATATACTGAACGCTATCGATGGAGCTTTGACAGTTATATTAGTTTGTTTGACCTTCCATAAAGTTCTGTGTCCTCCTTCCAGATGAACCCTTGTCTCATCTCCTCCTGCTTCTATCCAGTAAGCACTGTTTTGATTTCTATTACTAAAGTTTCATTTTTCCTCTTTCCAGAACTTCCTCTAATGCAGTGGTTCTCAACCTTCCTAATACTGTGACCCCTTTTTTTTAAAATTTGTTTTTTAATTTATTTAGTTATCTTTTTTACCGTGACCCTTTAATACAGTTCTTCATGTTGTGGTGACCCCCCCCACTATTAAATTATTATTTTTTTAGCTACATCATAACTGTAATTTTGCTACTGTTATCAATCAGGCAACCCCTGTGAAAGGGTCGTTCGATCCCCAAAGGGGTTGTGACCCCCAGATTGAGAACCGCTGCTCTAATGGAATCATGAGGTCAAATTGTTAACTTTTGATAAGCCTTTTCAACTCTCTGGCCCTCTGTGCCTCTGTTTAAGCTTCTATAAAATAAGCATTACAAAATGTCTGGTTGCTTGAAGAAGCCAGTGGAATCATGTTATCAAGAGGAAGACTTGATAGGAGACTATTAAATGTTGCACAATTGTCCACTTATTTTTATTCTTAGAAATCATCAGTCCCTCAGTCTACTAGGATGATGAAGTTACACTGTAATAAAACTTTGCATTTTTATATTGCTCCTTAGCCACCTTGGGGGGCATGGGTGTACCCTCTTTTACAGATAAGGAGATGAAGACCCATAAGGATTAAATACCCACAGCTCCCTCGCAAGTGCCTGATTGAGGGATCCGGGACTAGAACCTTGACCTCTACGCTCTCAGTGAAGAAAGTTCTTTCTTGTAAGCTGCCGTGGCACCAGTGTAATAGTGCTTATTAAGGCCTCGTTGTCTATTTCTTAAGTGGTGCCTTTCTGTGTATTGGGTCACTGTTCTAATGTTGTCTATTCTAGGTTTGCCCAGGTTGAGGGGAAAAGTCTGCCTCCTCCCTCTAACACTGAATGCGGTCCCAGAGCATCTCATGTCCCTTCCCACTCTTCCTTTCCACGTGCCCTAGTTCCTTGCCTTCTCCCCTCTCAGACTCTGCGCTGGTGTTTGAACCTGGGCATCCTAGAAGTGACAGTCTACGCATTCAGCATTGAGAACTTCAAACGTTCCAAGAGTGAAGTTGATGGGCTAATGGATCTGGCCCGGCAGAAGTTCAGCCGCTTAATGGAAGAACAGTAAGATACTGTTAGAGCATGCCCTTCCACCACTCCGCTTTCCGTAACCCTTACAGCTGTTTGTCCAAGGCTGCTTTAAAGGGCCCTGTACATGCTTTTAATGTCCGTTCTAAGTCTTCAATGGCAAATATCAAAAACACATGCCGGTGTTTCTGATTAGAAAGGGGGGACTTTATTTGAAGCCATTGAGATAATTTCACAGAAAACAAGGACAAGTACAACCAGGCTCAAGCAAAGCTGACACCAGACATTGAAACCCATTAGGTAGAACCACATTGTTCCTTGGCTTTCATCTCTCTCTCTCTCTCTCTCTCTCTCTCTCTCTCTCTCTCTCTCTGCAGACCAGCTTTCTCTGATTCAGAATAGCCCAGACTCAATCTTTAAACTGACCTATCAGATTTCTCCCCATAACTTGTGGAGCACATGATGAGGGAAGCATTGAAAAGTCATCTTTTGTGGGTGGTCATCCCTCAAGAGTGATCCTATGGGACACCGCTGCCTGCTCTCCTGGGTGACATGGCATGATGCTTAAGTCTTTTTGAGGACATGTCCATACCATTCTTCACTGGAGTTAACTTAGAGAGTGAAACCAGAGGCGAAAATGGATCTTGTTGGAAATTGTAAGCTTCAAAGTGTGGAGCCCACCCCAGCCAGGACTGCTTTAAAAGTCTTTTTTACAAGGTTTCTGCTCAGCTCCTGCCTGCCCTCGAGAGCCTAGAGCTCTGGTGGGGCTGAACCTGAGTCTACTTCTAGAGTCGGTTCTGCCCCATCTGTCCCTGTGTGATCCTTAGGAGCGCAGGGAGTGGGCAACCAGGCTTTTGTAATTCCAGTGGGTTCTCAGATGGCAAGGCCTTAGGCCACAGATTCTACTCCTAGTCCCGAGCAGAGCACGTGTGGCTGTGAGTGCAAACCAAAGGCAGGAGGGGCAGATTCTTCTGGACCTCACACTAACGTGGGAGGAGCAAGGATGTCTTTCTGAATGATAATGCCTTTCTATATCAATACACCTTTTTTTTTAAGTCTTTACTATGTGCCAGGTCCTGAACTTTGGTATTTTCATTTAAGCTTCTCAGTATTGCATGAGAAGGCTATTATTAGCCTAATTTTCGAGAGGAGGAAACTAAGGTGGAGATGCTGGATCACACGGCTATCAGAGAGGCAAAGTCAAGATGACCTGGGTCTTTCTCACTGCAGAGCCTGGGCAGTTATTTAAAAGTCCAGGGGCAATTTTGTGTTCCTGCAATGTCAGTGCTACAGAAAATGCCACAATCAGCCCATCGTGGAGAAAGCAGGCGGTCCGATGTTAGCGTGAAGCCCTGAGCAGAGCAATACGAAACCTCAGAGGTGATTTTCTACAGGAAAAGATTGTCAGGGTGCTGCTTTTCATCTGCTCTATTTTATGTATTGGATTTTTGCGTGCATAAGGTTTGACCTGAAGAAGGGATTCTTAGATTAAAAGGAAGTGTGAAAACCACAAGCCTACGTTGGCTTCATCTGTTGAATTGAGCTCGATGTGAAGAGAAGGATTTCGAGAAAAGAAGGGCTTGCCCGCAGTTGTATAGCAAGCCAATGGCAGAGCCAGGTGGGGTATCCGTAGATCTCCCTCCCTCTGTACCTGATGTCTGACATATAAGCACTGTCATATACTTATCACCCCCAATATATAGCGGAAGAAGTCTGAGGCTCAGAGAAGGTGGTTATATGAGTCACAGAGCTAGTAGATGATGGCACTGGGTATTTTGCATATATACTTGTCTACTCTAGCTCCAGTGGGCTCTCAAGGATAGGTATTTAGATCTTGCTTTGTTCTTGAAAAAATGTAGTTGACAGTTAAGGGATGGCTATTATATGGCGATGACCTTTCGGTCTAGGGCAAAGTATCCCCCAGGACTTTCCAGACCTCCCACCTCACAGTGTACTCCTTGTTGTTACATTTCCTTTTTCCAAACATTCATTGTTCAGATTTACCTTAGCATTCCCAGGTTAATTCCAGGCTGGTTGAGTAATAGTGAACTCATGCTTACTGTGTGCAAGATGTGGGATTCTCCTATGACAGTATAGTATTGGGATTAAGAGGATAGGCTCTGGAGCCAGACTCCTAGGTTCAGCTGGTACTCAGGTCAGTGTGAGAGCAGTGATCTGGCACTGAGTAAGCCTAATACATATTCACCGTCACTACTAGCACTTTGCACTTGGAGATACAAAAGTATGCCTGCCTTCCGGAGTTAGCGTGCTTGTCAAGCTGGGAGGAAGCGAACCAGAGAACACATCAGGCGCGGCTTGCTGACAAGGACACAGGAAGCAGCAGTGCCATGAGGGAGGAGTTACCTGGGTCTCACACCTGGCCCGGCGCTTGCTGGCTAGATGACCTGGGACAAGTTGTCTCTCTCTGCGCCTGTGTTTCCTGCTCTCAAATGGGACGTTGTACACCCTTTTAAGTGTGGTTGAGGGGTGCAGTGAGAGAATGTATGGAGAGCAGTGCCTGATGCACAGGAGAGCAGTTGGTTGTTACCCGAGTACTTGGTTCCCTCCACGCTCTCCAACGCTGCCTTCTCTCCCCTCCCCTCCCTGTCCTCACCCCTCAATCAGGGAGAAACTGCAGAAGCATGGAGTGTGTATCCGGGTCCTGGGCGATCTGCATTTGTTGCCTATAGATCTGCAGCAGCTGATTGCACAAGCTGTGCAAACCACCAAAAACTACAGCAAGTAAGTTCTCAGATTTCCCCTTAGAGCCCTTTGCTGGGTCTGAAGGGCACGCATTTGGATCTTTCTGGGTCTGTATTTGGTTCTGGAGGCGATAGGGGATCATTTGGGATGCTTCGAGACTTTCTGCTCCTCACACCCGCAGTGTCTCATCGACTTCCCCTCAAACATGCGTTTGTGTTTTCCTTGTGAAGGGGTGATGGTGGTTAAGCTGCAGGCCTTGTCATCCCTGTCTCTCTGCCAACTGATCCTTCAAGACATTCCTTTCTGTCTCAGCCCTTGAGCCTGTGGATAGTAGGGTGTCCTGGGGAAGTCGTACAGAGAGGCCCAGAAGCCAACATTCCAAGCTTCATGAGGGGTGGCTGTGAAATATAATATGTATTTGGCAGTGACTTGGGTTTGCATCAGATTTTCTTAAATTTTGCTGTGCCAGTATCACAGTGGATTCGTGTTCTCCGAAAAGTGATGGACAGCAGAAAAAAAGAGGGTTCAGAGGCCAAGAGTCACTATTTGTTCTATTTTAAAATGAGAAACGTGTTTATTTCAAGAAACCTGGGAAACACAGCTGACGGTCTCATCATTTTGTAGAGGTATTCCCAGTGGACATCCAGGAGAAGGGTCCTCTGTCAGCCACTCTAGTCTGTAGTCTCTACTCCCCAAGCTTGCAGGCTCTTTGGTGATTGGCTCTTCCCTCCTCAGGTGTTTCCTGAATGTCTGTTTTGCATATACCTCCCGCCACGAGATCAGCAACGCTGTGAGAGAGATGGCCTGGGGAGTGGAGCAAGGCCTCCTGGATCCCAGGTATTCCTACACCCCCACAGGGATTAAATCATAAAGTTCTTTCAAAGCTGCATACTTAGGCCAGAGGTCAATTCAGGGATCCACATGAAAAGACTTGGTGGGTTCCCAAAACTTAGATGTAAAGATTGGCCATTTACAGCCTGATCCAAAATGTTTGTTTGGTTTACACCAAGAACCCCAAGGGATATGACATTCAATAAAAAATAAAAAGAGCCTTCCTGGGCTCTTTGGCTTTTTGTGGGGTTTTGGACTTTCTGACTACTTTTTTTTCCATGAAAAGTTTTCAGGAATATCGCTTGATGGGGGGAGTAGAATCCTTTAGTCCAGTAGTTTCAACCTTCCTAATGCCACAACTCTAATACAGTTTCTCATGTTGTGGTGACCCCCTAACCATAACATGATTTTCGTTGCTACTTCATAACTGTAACTTTGCTACTGTTATGAATTGGGCAACCCCTATGAAAGGGTCGTTTGCCCGCCAGAGGGGTCGCGACCCACAGGTTGAGAACCGCTCCTTCAGTCCTTTGTGGGAATAGAGCTTGATGGGAGTAGAGTCCTTTTGTCCTTGAGTTAGTCTGGGTAGACTAGAGAAACATCCACATAAACTCATCTGTATATAAGAGAGAGTTATATAAAAGGTAAGTGTACATTAAGAAAGCAGCCCAGTCCAGTCCAAGCCTATAAGTCCAACATTAGCTCATAGGCCCGACACCAGTCTACAAAGTCCTCCCCAAACATGCAAAACGCACACAATAATGCAGAATGCAGGAGGAAAGCTGAATCAGTGTGCTTGTAAGCATCCCAGTGCAGGCAGGGTTCTCCACGTGCCTTCTCCAGCCCCCAGAGCTGCATCAGGGTAGGTCCATGTGGCTTCTCCTCAGGGATGTCTCACAGGAAGTTGAGTCTTGCCAGCTGAGGCAAAGAACTAGCTAAGGCAGCTGAACACTGGTCTGACCATCAGAGAACAAGAGACCAGAGAACCAGAAAGACGAGGCTCGCCGAGCCATTTATCTCTCCACCCTTCAATTAATCCCACATGTGTTTATCAGCCAGGTTGGCACAATAAACCTTAACTGTCACAGCCCTTTAAGGGAACATAGCTTGATGAGAGTACAGTACTTTAGGTCTTTCGTGTCATTGTTTTAAAGCACGATTGAGGTATTTTTTCCCCAAAGTAAAAGGAAGTTATTGCTCATCAGCAACAAAGTGGAATCCTAATTGTTAGAGCTGGGAGGGACTTGAGAAGCCATCTGTCTACCCAGTCTCTCATGTTATGAACTGAACAATAAGTACTGATTTTAGCAAACTAATAATAGTAGCAGCAAAATAATCTGAAAAATAGTCTAGGGAAGACGTCTATATTTTATTAAGCCATTAACTTCATATGACAGAGCCAAGTCTTTTTTTTTTTAAATACTTAAAAAAAATTTTTTTGGGCTTTGGGTCTCCACTCCACATACACACACCCCCATCCGGGTATGATTTTGTTCTGGGTCTTAGATGCCTGATACCTGATCCCATCGACACCTCGTGATCACACAGGCTGCTATGCTGCTTCCGTGTGGGTTCTATTGCTTCTCAGCTAGATGTCCGCTTGCTTATCTTCAAGGACCCCAAACACTTTTATTATTTTTTTAATCTCTTTTTAAATCATTTTATTGGGGGGCTCAACAACTCTTATCATAATCCATCCATCCATCCATTGTGTCAAGCACATTTGTACATTTGTTGCCATCATCATTCTCAAAACATTTGCTTTCTACTTGAGCCCTTGATATCAGCTCATTTGTCCTCCTCCCTCCCCGTGCCCCCTACCTCATGAATCCTTGATAATTTATAAAATATTGTTATTTTGTCGTGTCTTAACACTGTCCGATGTCTCCCTTCACCCACTTTTCTATTGTCTTTCCCCCAGAGTGGGGGTCATATGTAGATCTTTGTAATCAGTTTCCCCTTCCTACCCCACCTTTCCTCCACCCTCCTGGTATCACCACTCTCACCACTGGTCCTGAAGGGTTCATCTGTCCTGGAGTCCCTGTTTCCAGTTCCTATCTGTACCAGTGTACATCCTCTGGTCTACCCAGATTTGTAAGATAGAATTAGGAACATGATAGTGGAGGGGAGGAAGCATTTGAGAACTAGAGGAAAGTTGTATGTTTCACCATTGCTACACTGCACCCTGACTGGTCTCCTCCCTGTAACCCTTCTGTAAGGGGATGTCCAGTTGCCTACAGATGGGCTTTGCATCCCCAATCTGCACTCCCCCTCCTTCACAATGATAGGATTTTTTGTTCTTTGATGCCTGATCCTATCAACACCTCGTGATCACACAGGCTGGTGTGCTTCTTTCATGTGGGCTTTGTTGCTTCTCAGCTAGATGGCTGCTTCTTTACCTCCAAGCTTTTAAGACCTATATCTTTTGATAACCGGGCACCATCAGCTTTCTTCACCACATCTGCTTCTGCACACATTTGTCTTCAGCGATCGTATCAGGAAGGTGGGTACACAATGATATGATTTTTTGTTCTTTGATGCCTGATCCCTTCGGCACGTCGTGATCACATGGGCTAGTGTGCTTCTTCCATGTGGGCTTTGTTGCTTCTCAGCTAGATGGCCGCTTGTTTACCTCCAAGGCTTTAAGACCCCAAATGCTGTATCTTATGATAGCCGGGAACCATCAGCTTACTTCACCACATTTGGTTATGCACACATTTTGTCTTCAGTGATCATGTCAGGAAGGTGAGCATCCCAGAATGTCGGATTATTAGAATAAAGTGCTCTTGTGTTCAGGAAGTACTTGAGTCAAGGCCTAATGTCATCTGTAACCTTAATTCTTAACAGCTAGAGATAAGTACATAGACCTATTCCCCTTTGGTTACATAGAAATATATTTACATGTGTACATGCCTGTATTTAGACCTGTATAAAGGTCCTTTGCCTCCCTCCTGGTTCTTTCCTCTATTTCCTTTTACTTTCCTCTTGTCCTTTCATCATGTTCAGCCTTCATTCACGTTTAGTAATTCCTCACTGCCCTTGATTAAGCCACACTAGGCATCCTATGCCCTCTTGCCACTGATTTTAGTTTACTTGTTGTTCCCTTGTCCCTGGTTTGGTCCTTCCCACCACCCTTTCCTTTCTCCCACTTCCCCTTCTTCCGTATCCCACCGGAACCATTGGTCCCATTCTTTTCATCTCCGAATTGTTTATCCCACCTATCTTATCTAGATAGACATGCAGAGACATTAATAAGTGCAAAAACCAAGCAAAGCCAAACAGTACAACAAAGAAAGTCAAAACCAATAAAATAATGACAACAAAAAATAAATAAAATGACAACAAGAAAGCCACTGACAAAAAAGGAAAATCCTATAAATAATTCCAGGTCTATTTTTCAAAATTTAGGAGTGTTTTCCAGTCGAGTCTGATGGGGTGCCACACTCTGCCCCCAAAGTCTATTTTTGGTATTCCCCAGGGATTTCATCACTTTGCTCCTCTGTTGCATGCCCTTAGTGTTTCGCACCAGTGTGATGGGGACAGATTGGGCACAGTTCCCACACTGTGTCTCCAGTATTGTCCCCCATAGTGCTATGGTTCAGTGAGGGACGTCTTGTCTTGTGGTGGGCCCGGCCCTATGGTCCTCTCTGTGCGTTGTCTGCTCTGAGCAGGAATATTGTCCTTGGGGCTTGGTGGACCAGGATGTGTTCCCCTCCCTCTCCATCCCTCTTTGTTTCTCCTGTGTGTTCTAGTCAGATGTTCCCCTCTCCCCAAGCTATATATTCAGTCCTGTCCTCTGAAGTGCATTGTTCTGGGGGGTTGGGGGGGGGGCAGTGTCCACATGGTTAGGATTGGGGCCACCCCAAAGAGCCAAGTCTTCTCTCCACTTTATAGATGAGAAACTGTGCCCAGCATTGAAATGACTTCCCTAAGATCATTCTGCTAGTGCTGGAATTCACATCTAAGCCTGTCTTATTCCGGAGTTCGTGGCTTCTGTCTTTATTGTGTGGAATCTTGGGACCAAGGAGTTTTTCTTATTCATTTCTTAGGCATGACTTGACCTGGGAAATGAAATGTAAAATCAAGAAGGGACTTGTGAGAATGGGATTCCGTGCCATGCACCATTACTCACTGCCTTCTCATCGATTCTGACTCATAGCAACCCTGTTGGACAGGGTAGAACTGCCCTCTGGGTTTCCAGAACTACAATCTCATGGAAGTAGAATGCCCCCTCTTTCTCCTGAGGAGCAGCTGGTGGTTTTGAACTACTGACCTTGTGATTAACTGTCCAACTCATAGCCAATGCAACACCAGGGTGCCTTCAGGAGTGAGATTAGAAAAGGCTAGATATGAGTGTTTTGCCACCTCAACGGTTAAGTGCTCTTTCTCTGCTGCATCACTCAGTCGGACAACAAATACATTTTAAGTGCCAACTGTAGGGAGGCACATTGCCGTGCATTGAGGAGACACTGATGAAACAAAAAGGATATATTTTCTGCCTTTCTAGAGATAAACTCTGGAAAGGCAAAAAAGCATCAATCAAGATTATACAAATGAGCCTAAAATGTTAATGGTGGTAAATGTTACAAAGGCATTGGTCCATGGTACAACAAGAGTTTAGAATAAGAGGTGTGGACCTGGTGAGGAAGGCTTCCCCCGCAGGAATTAGAAGTAGGCTTAGAAAGAAGAATAAGCAGTAACTAAGGAGAGGGGAATCCTTGACTGGTGTAAAGGATTAATGCCCTTGTCTAACCGAAAAGGTGGAAGTTCAAAACTACCCAGAACTGACTTAGAAAAAGACCCGATCATCTACTTCCAAAAAGCACTCATTGAAAGCGCTATTTAACTCCACAAGAAAGAGACAGTAATGTGATGAGCATCCCCTTTGCTGAAACACTGTTTACGTCATGTAGGTAGGGAGTGGGTGGAAAGAGGAGCGTGGGCTGTGGTAGAGTTGGAATGGATAGACTGTCAAGGGCTACATAGGTACAATCAAAAACACTAGT